TAAGTTGAACATGTGCTCTTTATGACAGAATGTTAAAGGTGCACTATGCAGAAATCTGGTTGCTAAAATTCTAATAGTTTGCCTAATTTCAGTTTATGTGACAAAACAAGTAGTCTAGTGTAGAGAATCATTGTACCATCTAAACCGCTGTGAAATATATTTTCCATAACACAAAATATTGTATTTTCAGCTGTTTGAAGTTGGTGTACAAAACTGAAAGTAAAAGATGCAAAAACGAAACTTAAGAACGAGAAGCATAGACATAGCACACATAGAACAGATCTACTACTTCTTAAACTTGCTTTCAATGAGAATGACAGATCTCACATTTCTATGTGAATTTGGTTCGGGTCACCCAAAAAGTTACATATTGTCTTATTCTGTTGACAAAATAATCGATGCTTGGCAGCCGTTTGAAAAATAAAACAAAATCATGCTCTTTCGTCCATAATAATCTCATCATTATTGTAGTCTATACACTGAGTACATTAAGAACACCTGCTCTTTCCATGACATATACTCTGACCAGGTGAATCCAGGTGAAAGCTATGATCCCTTATTTATTTCACTTGTTAAATCCACTTCAGTCAGTGTAGATGAAGGGGAGGACACAGGTTAAAGAAGGATTTTTAAGCCTTGACACAATTGAAACATGGCTTGTGTATGTGTGCCATTCAGAGGGTGAAGGGGCAAGACAAAATATTTAATTGCCTTTGAACGGGGTATGGTAGTAAGTGCCAGGCACACCGGTTTGTGTCAAGAACTGCAACGCTGCTGGGTTTTCACGCTCAACCTTTTGACGCATATGATCACATATTTGTCCCTGCAGCGTACCATCGCAAATATGTGATTGGAACAGTAGCAACAGAATGTATGATGCAACAAACGCTTCTAAACAGCATTGTTGTCTGAAAAGCATCTAAACAATGTTTGGTACTGATGGAAAATAAAGGTCTTCACAACTGTTATGATGAGTTTCTCGGGTATCAAGTATATAATAATAATAATAATAATATGCCATTTAGCAGACGCTTTTATCCAAAATGACTTACAGTCATGCGTGCATACATTTTTTATTTAATTTTTTTGTGTATGGGTGGTCCCGGGGATCGAACCCACTACCTTGGCGTTACAAGCGCTGTGCTCTACCAGCTGAGCTACAGAGGGTAGGATGTAAGGATATACTTAGACACTTTTGATGGGGAGTTCATATAAGTATTTAATAGGTACCATGGTTCGTTATAACAAAAGACATGGCTCTGCCTCTTGCCATTTCAAACTCCAGAACAAAGACATCCTCTCAGCTTATATACACTCTGTTACACGTTTCTTCACGAACATCTGGTAACCCTCAGTGGGCACTCCCTTCTTTGATGTTATTACCCTTTACCCAAAGTCAGTATATCCTATCCATCAATCATGCTACCATAAACATCAGTAATCTCCTATGACATACTGGAATGTAGACTCTGTGGCACCAAGCCACTTATCTACTAACTCTAACCTGGTCCACAACACTATGAAAACCTCATATCAATAACTCTATTCCTCAATTTCACCTTTTATTGTAAAAGATAAATGCAAACTTCATCGTAAAAGATAAATGCAAACTTCATCATCCAAGCATCACACGGAACACATCCACAGCCAAACTCATTCCATAAACCAGTCTAAATAACAGTTTGCGCTGACAAAAAAACGAAACATTAGTTAGCGACCTAACAGCTAGACTTGTTTACAATGTACCTCATCTCTGGTGAGCACAAGGGAGAAATGTAATATTGTTTAGAAAAGAGATGCGTGTCAGCTAAGCTAACAGCGGCTAAATTCTTTATGATGGAGCCATGTTTGTTTATGTTTGACAAGCGAAAACTCCCTAATCCCAGAATGCCATTAATTATAAGACGCAAATAAGCAAAGTCAAAGTTAACCCTGGTTGCTTCTGTGTGTCGCTCTGGATGGGAGTCTGTTAGATTACTAATGTGATGTAGTTGTTGAGCGTCTTCACTGCAAGTATATTGTATGTTTTAAATATTAAATCAATAAAAAAGTCAGAGATGGCTGCGCCCATTGCCCGAATAAGATCAACTTAGTTTGGCCACTTTGGCAACTCACTTTGGCAGCTCGATATTAGGAAGGCGTTCCTAATGTTTGGTATACTCAATGTACGTGCTCTCTAGCCAACAGCAGATAGCGCTGTTGGCTAGAGCGCATGTGCCAATACCAGAGTGGGCAGACTCGCTATATAACGCTATATAACGATATATAACGCAATATTTTTGTGAGAAAACCATTTAACTTAATTTTGTTATTTTTTAAAACTTTATTTATTTTTATTCGGTACATGGGAATTTAACCACAAAATGTATTTGTATGTGCACTACGTCATCACAGACAGCCTTTTATCTGCAACAAGTCAATTTGATGGAAACAAATCTCTGGTAGGAAAATGCGGGTTTTAGAATATTCACATGAAATCTGTCACCAATTGGATGGAATCAAATCAAATCAAATCAAATTTGATTTGCCACATGCACCGAATACAACAGGTGTAGACATTACCGTGAAATGCTTACCTAACTACTGATACGTAAAGAGTAATATAAGAAGCTGAATTAGTAACCCCTCTAGCCACCCTGTAGACTAGAGCCATATACATAGTGTGACATCGCAAAGGAAGCCTTTGAGTCTTTGAAAAGGGACTTATGCACAATGTTAGATTATATGAGGAATTCTCGTCAGAAATCACTCCATTGTATTTGTATTTGTATTTATTATGGATCCCCATTAGCTGCTGCCAAGGCATCAGCTACTCTTCTTTGGGTCCGGCAATATTAAGGCAGTTATACAATTTTAAAAACATTACAACACGTTCATAACAGATTTCACAACACACTGTGTGCCCTCAGGCCCCTACTCCACTACCACATATCAACAACACAAAGTCCATGTGTACAGTTGAAGTCGGAAGTTTACATACACTTAGGTTGGAGTCATTAAAACTCGTTTTTCAACCACTCCACAAATGTCTTGTTAACAAACTATAGTTTTGGCAAGTCGGTTAGGACATCTACTTTGTGCATGACACAAGTAATTTTTCCAACAATTGTTTACAGACAGATTATTTTACTTATAATTCACTGGATCACAATTCCAGTGGGTCAGAAGTTTAAATACACTAAGTTGACTGTGACTTTAAACTGCTTGGAAAATTCCAGAAAATGATGTCATGGCTTTAGAAGCTTCTGAAAGGCTAATTGACATCATTTGAGTCAATTGGAGGTGTACCTGTGGATGTATTTCAAGGTCTACCTTCAAACTCAGTGCCTCTTTGCTTGACATCATGGGAAAATCAAAAGAAATCAGCCAAGACCTCAGAAAACAATTGTAGACCTTGACAAGTCTGGTTCATCATTGGGAGCAATTTCCAAATGCCTGAAGGTACCACGTTCATCTGTACAAACAATAGTATGCAAGTATAAACACCATGGGACCATGCAGCCGTCATACCGCTCAGGAAGGAGACACGTTCTGTCTCCTAGAGATGAACGTAATTTGGTGCGAAAAGTACAAATCAATCCCAGAACAACAGCAAAGGACCTTGTGAAGATGCTGGAGGAAACAGGTACAAAAGTATCTATATCCACAGTAAAACGAGTCCTATATCGACATAACCTGAAAGGCCGCTCAGCAAGGAAGAAGCCACTGCTCCAAAACAGCCATAAAAAAGCCAGACTACGGTTTGCAACTGCACATGGGGACAAAGATCATACTTTTTGGAGAAATGTCCTCTGGTCTGATGAAACAAAAATAGAACTGTTTGGCCATAATGACCATCGTTATGTTTGGAGGAAAAAGGGGGGCGCTTGCAAGCCGAAGAACATCATCCCAACAGTGAAGCACGGGGGTGGCAGCATCATGCTGTGGGGGTGCTTTGCTGCAGGAGGGACTGGTGCACTTCACAAAATAGATGGCATCATGAGGAAGGAAAATTATGTGGATATATTGAAGCAATACATCAGTCAGGAAGTTAAAGCTTTGGTCACAAATGGGTCTTCCAAATGGACAATGACCCCAAGCATACGTCCAAAGTTGTGGCAAAATGGCTTAAGGACAACAAAGTCAAGGTATTGGAGTGGCCAACCCAAAGCCCTGACCTCAGTCCTATATATAACATTTGTGTGCAAAACTGAAAAAGCGTGTGCGAGCAAGGAGGCCTACGAACCTGACTCAGTTACACCAGCTCTGTCAGGTGGAATGGGCCAAAATTCACCCAACTTATTGTGGGAAGCTTGTGGAAGGCTACCCGAAACGTTTGACCCAAGTTAAAAAATTGAAAGGCAATGGTACCATACTAATTGAGTAACTTCTGACTCACTGGAAATGTGATGAAATAAATAAAAGCTGAAATAAATGATTCTCTCTACTATTATTCTGACATTTCACATTCTTAAAATAAAGTGGTGATCCTAACTGACCTAAGAGAGGGAATTTTTACTAGGATTAAATGTCAGGAATTGTGAAAAACGGTTTAAATGTATTTGGCTAAGGTGTATGGAAACCTCCGACTTCAACTGTATTTCTGGAATATTGTCAGGCATTACATGCATTTAAGCAAACACGCAAATTTGAAATGCATTTGAAATATATTGAAAGAAAAAGTAATCTGTATGTGTTTGATAATGTTTTGGATTTTTTACGCCACCTTTTGATAAACTTAGCTGGGTGTGTTTGTGTGTGTTTCCTACAGTTATAAAGTTTATCAGACAACAGATCTGTTTGATAACCGCTGTGTGTTCTCACGTCATGAAAATAAACCTACACACAAATCATTGAAATGTCATATTTGCTTGAGGGTTTGGCGGTTCCCGTTTCATGTTCTGTTGTTTCTCACTCACTACATAACACATACAATGTACCTCCGAAGCGTTTGTTTTTCTGGGGTTTGGTTTCCTGTTACAGCCCAGAGAGTCTAAGCCATATCCTGTTTGTGTGTGTAGATTCTGGCAGCCCTGAGGCACCTACACTTTAAGAACATCGTCCACTGTGACCTGAAGCCTGAGAATGTCCTGCTGGCCTCTGCCGAGCCCTTCCCCCAGGTACATACAACTGTTATGACACTATCACACACACCATGACTCTCCACGTCAAAGCTAATGTAGAGATCTCTCTCTCTCTCTCTCTCTCCTCTCTCTCTCTCTCTCTCTCTCTCTCTCTCTCTCTCTCTCTCTCTCCTCTCTCTCTCTCTCTCTCTCTCTCCCCTCTCTCCCCCCTCTCTCTCCCTCTCTCTATATATATATATATCTATATCTCTCTATATATATATATCTCTCTATATATATCTCTATATCTCTCTATATCTATATATCTATATCTCTCTCTATATATATCTTTATATCTCTCTCTCTATATCTCTCTCTCTCTCTCTCTCTCTCTCTCTCTCTCTCTCTCTCTCTATATATATATATATATATATATATATCTTTCTCTATATCTCTCTCTAAATATCTCTCTATCTCTCTCTCTATATATATCTCTCTATATATATCTTTATATCTCTCTCTCTATAGTTAGGGGTAAGGGGGGGAATTAACCGTTTCCTGTTGTGTGTGTGGCTCTCACACACACACACTCATTATTCTGAGAAAACCATGGTGGTCACATGGTAAACATACACACACATACAGTGGGCTCCGAAATGATTGACACCATTGATAAAGATGAACAATAATGACTATATTAAATAAATAATTCAAATACTGTGCTATATTTATTGTATACTCAACAAAATGGGTAAAGTACATTATTTTATACTAATACAATTGCTTAGAGAAATAGATTTTGTTTAACAAGTAATACTTTTTTTCTGAGAAAGGTAGGGGTAAAAATTATTGACACCCCTAAAGATTCTTATAAATAAAGTAATCAAACGTTTAGTATTAGGTCTCATGTTCCTGGCATACAATGAATACATCAAGCTTGTGACTCTACGAACTTTCTGGATGCATTTGCAGTTTGTTTTTTGGTTGTGTTTTCAGATTATTTTGTGCCCAATATAAATTAATGGTAAATAAGAATAGAATATGTTTCTAAACACTTCTACATTCATGTGGATGCTACCATAATTGCAGATAATCCTGAATGAATCGTGAATAATGATGGGTGAGAAAGTTTGAGGGTCAAAGATCATACCTCTAAGACATGCTAACCTCCCCTGTTATTGGTAATGGTGAGAGGTTAGCATGTCTTGGAGAAATCAATCATTTCAGACCCCACTGTATATAATACAATATAATATAGAGAGTACCAGAACTGAGTTGATTTGCAGGGGTACGAGGTAATTGAGGTAGCTATGTACATATACTATAGGTAGGAGTAAAGTGACTAGGCAACAGGATAGATAATAGACAACTCCATCTCATACCGAATCAGGCATAACAACAGCACAGCCAAGCCTGCTGATGGGAACAACTCAAAATAGTCTGGCACAACACACACACACTGTGCCCATTTGCTATCCTGGATTAACACACCAGATCTGAGAGTTACGGACATGGCCAGTGACCAGTGATGCCCTGTTACATACAGACAGACCACATTGAAAAAGACACAGGGGTAACACTATACCCCTGTCACACACACACACACTGCTTCCAAGAAAGTGCTCTGGCAGTTATGATAGCGTCAGTCAAAGTCACCTAAGAGAAGCTAGTGGTTGTTTGGACAGCCCTGGGATCCTGAATAGTTAATATAGTCTGGTTCAGGTCAGCAGCACTATACATGTTACAGGGCACGGGTCAACAGACCTGGGACATGATCTCTTCACCCAGCACCACAACAAGACCCAGGATCATGTATAAAACAGTTGGCATATACAGTATGTAGTCCTATGAAATAGGATGGCTTGATGGTGGCATCCAATGCAGCATGCTGGTAATGTTAGTAAGGGAGTTGGTATATCTGGGTCATCTATAAAAGCCAGGTGGTGACCTCTCCCATACAGGGCGTGGCAGAGGTATGTTCAACTTATTTACTAGGCATGTCAAAGTGATGATGGGGTTATGGGATAGTGTTACTCATTTAGTAGAAGAGAGGAGAGTAGGCCATGATGCTGGAACTTACATACTGTAACATGTCATAGCTAACATCAGAACACTGGAGCTGGTCAAGAGGAAGCAGGCCCTATGACGTAGTCCTCTCTCTCTCCTCTCTCTCTCTCTCTCTCTCTCTCTCTCTCTCTCCTCTCTCTCTCTCTCTCTCTCTCTCTCTCTCTCTCTCTCTCTCTCTCTCTAGGTGAAGCTGTGTGACTTTGGCTTTGCCCGTATAATTGGTGAGAAGTCGTTCAGGCGTTCGGTGGTGGGCACCCCAGCCTACCTTGCCCCAGAGGTGCTGCTCAACCAGGGTTATAACCGCTCCCTGGACATGTGGTCTGTAGGAGTCATCATGTACGTCAGCCTCAGTGGCACCTTCCCCTTCAACGAGGACGAGGACATCAACGACCAGATCCACAACGCTGCCTTCATGTACCCACCTAACCCCTGGAAACAGATTTCACCTGACGGTAAGACACACACACTTGTACTCATGCATGACAAATGCAAGTGTCTTACTCAATCATGGGTAAGTATATCTAAATGTCCATATTATTATGACATACACGTACAGTTCACATACTGTTCTCACCTGTGTGCCTGTGTTCCTCTTCAGCCACTGACCTGATCAACAACCTGCTCCAGGTGAAGATGAGGAAACGCTACAGCGTGGACAAGAGCCTCAGTCACTCCTATCTACAGGTACGCTAGTCAACAGAAGCACGGCAGCTATACAAAAGTCCATTACCTACAGTGGAGACACCAGAGACACAAGGCCCCCTAACTGACTTATTTCTCATGTTTCTCTCCATCCTCAAACCTCTCATCTCATCCTCTTCCCTCCTTCCATGCTCTTCTCTTCTTCCCCCTCCTCCCATCAACCCTCCCTCCCTCCCTCCTCTCCTCTCCAGGACTACCAGACATGGTTGGATCTGAGGGAGCTGGAGACCAAGCTGGGTGAGCGCTACATCACCCATGAGAGTGACGACTGCCGCTGGCAGATGTTTGCCCGCGAACACACACTTCCCTATCCGGCCCACCTGGTGCCCCCTTTGCCTGCGCTCGGGTCTGACGATGAGGCCAGGGAGGACGCAGACATGCAGGGGCTCACCGAGAGGGTCAGCATACTCTGAGAACCAGCAGAACCAGGACCCACGAGGGCCCAAGGGACTCAGACTGACCCAGGGAAGAGGAGGGGAGTGTGGGGAGCGAGTAGAGAGAGAGAGGGGCTGGCTGGATGGATGGAGGTCTGGAGAGTGGGGAGGGTGAGGCTTGGAGGTTTAGCTGTAGAACAGCGCCTTCTATAGCGATGATCCCGCTCCTATCCGTCTACTAATGGTGTCCACTCTGGCCCAAGCCTGTCCAATCTCCAGACCCCATCCTTGACCCCTCTCTCATCGGTCCAGCTTAGCTCTTCAACCCCTGAACTCTTTAGTGTAAAGAGACTGCCTTCTGTCGCCCCCCACGGACTGTATCTGTACTGTATCCGTGGGTGTCAGGGGATGTGTATCTCAAGAAACCCGGGGGAAGCACAGGATCCCATGCTTATTTCACAGATAGAGAGAGAGAGAGAGAGAGAAGAGAAGAAGAGAGAGAAGAAGATAGAGAGAGATCTCGCTCTACGCGCCTATCTGAGAGCTCGAGAGAGCGAGCTAGCGCTAGAGAGAGATTCAGCTCATCTCGCGCGCTCGCGTAGTAGCGCTCTCGCTCTCTCGCTCTCTCTCTCTATCTAGCTATCTGACGAGCGAGAACCTTCCTGGCCCCTTCGATCATCTCCACTTAGGGCCTCGATCAATCCACTTATGCATGACTTACATCCACCCATAAACAAAACCTTATGAACCGTTCCTTTTTATTTTATTTTCATTGAATGTGATGACTGGAAGCGCCCTGCCTGTACTGGCAGACCTGTTTGCTGCAGACCGGAAAGAGTTTAATGGAGACAAAGGAGTCATTTAGTACCTGTAAGTGGTAGATAAAGGGCTTATAACTGTAGGCAACAGACCAGTGCTAGTGGGCTGTCATCGTTTCAGAGGAAATCTGCTGTTCAAACGACAACAAAGAAAACAAAGCCAGAGATAGATGTAGCAATCAAAGATTGCACCTTTAATCTGTCCTCTGATACTGTCCTAGTTGGTGCAACACCATTATTGATAATTACTTATTAGTTAAGACTGAAGACTGCTCATCATCGGAAGTGCTAATTGTGAATTGGTGATGGTGATTCGAGGGTGTCCTAGACCTGTAGACATACACTGTTACAATGAAGGCAATGTGGACATTTTCTGAATAGTTTGTCATGGACACCATTAAACACCAATGGACAGTGGGGAAAATGCTATTGCTCTTTTAGTTATAGTAGAAAGACAATGAACTGCCCATCTCTGGAGTCAATTTTAATGTATGGGAGGAGGGCTATGATATTGATTACTGACTATGAACCTAGCATGTCAACATGTTGGATGTCCATGTGAAGTAGATTTGTCTAGAAGAAAAGCATAGTTATGAAGGAATATTATGTACATGTATAACCATATCTTTATGTAGTGTAATCAATGTATGCTTGGAGAATGTAAACCTATGGAAGATCCCAGCATTTATATATAACATCAGTACAAACCTTGACATACAATATTTCATCTGTGTCATTTATTCAGCGCGTTGCCTCGTGAACATTGAGATGGAAGATTAGGGGGAAATATGGAAGACTAGGGAGAAGTATAGGAGGAAATAACTATGGTGATTATCCATACCACTCATATCTATATAAAATCGCATCCTAGCGCATACATTTTCATGACATGCATCAGTCATGCTCATCAGGCATTACCTGCTCAGAATTCACACTGGAACATATACACTATGTGGATTGAATGACAGATTGAGTGAGAAATATACAGAGAGAGCATGATAGGACTCAGGCCTTTATGGTAGAGTGGCCAGATGGAAGCCACTCCTCAGTAAAAGGCACATGACAGCCCGCTTGGAGTTTCCCAAAAGGCACCTAAAGGACTCTCAGACCATGAGAAACAAGATTCTCTGGTCTGATGAAGCCAAGATTGAACTCTCTGGCTTGAATGGCAAGCGTCACGTCTTTAGGAAACCTGGCACCATCCCTACGGTGAAGCATGGTGGTGGCAGCATCATGCTGTGGGGATGTTTTTTAGCAGCAGAGACTGGGAGACTAGTCCCGATCAAACATCTCTGGAGAGACCTGAAAATAGCTGTGCAGCGACGCTCCCCATCCAACCTGACAGAGCTTGAGAGGATTTGCAGAGAAGAATGGGAGAAACTCCCCAAATACAGGTGTACCAAGCTTGTAGCGTCATACCCAAGAAGACTCAAGGCTGTCATCGCTGCCAAAGGTGCTTCAACAAAGTATTGAGTAAAGGGTCTGAATACTTATGTAAATGTGATATTTCTGTTTTTTTTTATTTTATACATTTGCTAAAATTCCTAAAAAACTGTTTTTACTTTGTCATTATGGGGTATCGTGTGTAGATTGATGAGGGGAACAAAACTATTTAATCAATTTTAGAATAAGGCTGTAACGTAACAAAATGTGGAAAAAGTGAAGGAGTCTGAATACTTTCCATATATACTGTGTATCTGCTCATTTACCCACATACCTTCATTCATTCCTGTACATCTCCATGCAGCAACGTTCATTTAAAAAAATCACTTTGGAAACAACTGTGAAGCTGTGCATATTGAGAGAGTATTACAAGCCAAATTTCAACGATGGAATGATAAATGTTTACACAGAGTGTTGGGATATTCAATTTATACAGGATATTCGCTTCCCATTCGCAGATACATTTTGACTGTGATAAACACATTTCCCTCCTGTACTAATAGACAGATGCTGTCCAAGTCATGTGATCTCCAGATGTGGTTTACTTCTGGTAAGGGGATGACGTTAGGGACGACCTGACCTGTGATGAATCATTTTAGAAATTTCACTGACGTTCCAGTCCGGTTGAGATTTGTATCAGATTTCTACGCCACAGGAAAAGCCCATTAGACACATCTAAAGATCATTTTCTTCTATTGTGTTATTGACTCACATTGCCTGTGTGTCTAGAGTATCTGTTGCTGCGGTTAGCTCTCTCTTGTTAGTCTCTTTTTTTTCACTTGTGGAGGAAACCACCATTGTGGGTAGTCTGACTGCCAGTCAAGTTGTACGTTTCAATTTGAACGATCCATCTGGGGGTGCTGGGGAGTTAGTGTGTGAGAGGTGTCTAACTTAGTCGCTACCACCCACCCTAAAGTAATTACTTCTCAGATGCACGTGTATGCTGAAGAAAACTCCCTCCCTCCTCCCCTAAACATCACTGTTCTCTTCCCCTCTTGTGTCTGGCTTATTCTCTCTCTGTCTCTCTCGTGCATGGCTGTCTGTCTGACATCTTGACTTCAGTGGGTGGACTGACTGCTCATGGTTGGTATTTCCCATCACAGAGGAAGTGTACTGGGTTGAAAACATCAGTCTGTCGGTTGTCTTCTCTCATCAGAGTATTTCTAACTGGAGTGCTCGCAGCGCTCTTCTTGTCATCGTGTGGGACTCTAATGATCTGGCGGTAACTCAAAGGTTCTGAAGCCTCCCATCAGGCTGTCTGAATGGAAATCTCCTGTGCCTGAGGGTTACTGAAGGAGACAGAAGTTCTTGACCCACTTTGAAGAACCATTGTCGACAACAACTGACAGGTGAGGACTTCTAAAACGGTGGTCAGGACTCAGAAGTGATAGAAAGTGTAGATGAAAGAATGATAAAAGCTTTTGTCAACTTTTTCCTTTCTGATGGAGTTAGGACATTCACTGAAAGTTAGTACACAGAGTATCACTGTATGTTTTAGAAGATAAGACATACAGTGAGGGAAAAAAGTATTTGATCCCCTGCTGATTTTGTAAATTTGCCCACTGACAAAGAAATGATAGGCTCAAATTTTAATGGCAGGTTTATTTGAACAGTGAGAGACAGAATAACAACAACAAAAAATCCAGAAAAACGCATGTCAAAAATGTTATAAATTGATTTGCATTTTAATGAGGGAAATAATTATTTGACCCCCTCTCAATCAGAAAGATTTCTGGCTCCCAGGTGTCTTTTATACAGGTAACGAGCTGAAATTAGGAGCATACTCTTAAAGGGAGTGTTCCTAATCTCAGTTTGTTACCTGTATAAAAGACACCTGTCCACAGAAGCAATCAATCAATCAGATTCCAAACTCTCCACCATGGCCAAGACCAAAGAGCTCTCCAAGGATGTCAGGGACAAGATTGTAGACCTACACAAGGCTGGAATGGGCTACAAGACTATCGCCAAGCAGCTTGGTGAGAAGGTGACAACAGTTGGTGCGATTATTCGCAAATGGAAGAAACACAAAATAACTGTCAATCTCCCTCGGCCTGGGGCTCCATGCAAGTTCTCACCTCGTGGAGTTGCAATTATCATGAGAATGGTGAGGAATCAGCCCAGAACTACACGGGAGGATCTTGTCAATGATCTCAAGGCAGCTGGGACCATAGTCACCAAGACAACAATTGGTAACACACTACACCGTGAAGGACTGAAATCCTGCAGCACACGCAAGGTCCCCCTGCTCAAGAAAGCACATATACAGAGCCGTCTGAAGTTTGCCAATGAACATCTGAATGATTCAGAGGAGAACTGGGTGAAAGTGTTGTGGTCAGATGAGACCAAAATCGAGCTCTTTGGCATCAACTCAACTCGCCGTGTTTGGAGGAGGAGGAATGCTGCCTATGACCCCAAGAACACCATCCCCACCGTCAAACATGGAGGTGGAAACATTATGGTTTGGGGGTGCTTTTCTGCTAAAGGGACAGGACAACTTCACCGCATCAAAGGGACGATGGACAGGGCCATGTACCGTCAAATCTTGGGTGAGAACCTCCTTCCCTCAGCCAGGGCATTGAAAATGGGTCGTGGATGGGTATTCCAGCATGACAATGACCCAAAACACACGGCCAAGGCAACAAAGGAGTGGCTCAAGAAGAAGCACATTAAGGTCCTGGAGTGGCCTAGCCAGTCTCCAGACCTTAATCCCATAGAAAATCTGTCGAGGGAGCTGAAGGTTCGAGTTGCCAAACGTCAGCCTCGAAACTTTAATGACTTGGAGAAGATCTGCAAAGAGGAGTGGGACAAAATCCCTCCTGAGATGTGTGCAAACCTGGTGGCCAACTACAAGAAACGTCTGACCTCTGTGATTGCCAACAAGGGTTTTGCCACCAAGTACTAAGTCATGTTTTGCAGAGGGGTCAAATACTTATTTCCCTCATTAAAATGCAAATCAATTTATAACATTTTTGACATGGGTTTTTCTGGATTTTGTTGTTGTTATTCTGTCTCTCACTGTACAAAGAAACCTACCATTAAAATTATAGACTGATCATGTCTTTGTCAGTGGGCAAACGTACAAAATCAGCAGGGGATCAAATACTTTTTTCCCTCACTGTACAAATATTCTCTCAAATTGATCGGAGAGTCCTTTAGGTCTCAGTTCAATCTCCTCACAGATGCATGTGTGTGCTTCCTAAATATTCTACCTAAACATTGCGCTGACAAGATTAATTTGAATTCCGTCCTAAAATAACTTCCCTTCCCCCCAACACACAATTTTCCCTGTTGCTCTGGCCCCAGGATGATAGTGGTAAAAGGAAGGATGACTAGCCTGTAGCAGTGTGAGTCAGTCTTATTAAATGATTAGACTAAAGAGGTCTGGGAATGTAGCCAGTGACTGATTCAACGTTCGAAACATGCAAATTGCTCCCACAGGTGCTTAAAGGGCAAAACAGAGGGTTGATTAAGAGAACTGTGGAAATGTGGAGGAGGACTGTCTGCTGATTGAGAAAGAAGTGGACATTTATAATAATATAATATGCCATTTAGCAGATGCTTTTATCCAAAGCGACTTACAGTCATGTGTGCATACATTTTTACGTATGGGTGGTCCCGGGGATCGAACCCACTACCCTGGCGTTACAAGCGCCATGCTCTACCAATTGAGCTACAGAGGACCACGAGGATGTTAACGAGTTATGATTTGAGACCGTTGGGAACGTTGGGATTTGAGACCGTTGGGACACGAGACTGTGACCTGGGAGATCTTTTGTCTAGCTGTCACTGGACATCGGAGAGTTCATGCCTGTGTGTTTGGTTAAGAGAACATTAACATACTGCTGGACAGACGTAATTGAGTTAAATTCACATTAGAAGCAGAGGGCTAGTAAGGGTGGCTAAAGTGGGTCGATATTACATGTAGTATCTGTCAAATGTACTCTTATAGGTGCTAAGCAAGGTTCTTTTGACATTAATAAGAGAATACGGACAATACAAGGAGTAAAGTACACCCATAATCTCAGGGAGTTAACCAAGGTGTATAAATCTGACATGCAGCAGACAGAGAATCCTATGGGAGAGAACGCAAGGCAGGTAGCATGTAGAGTTGCAGACTCCTTATGAAGGGTAGCCTGCTACACTAATATTCATAAAGCTTTATTCATGAGACAGGACAGATAGCTTAAAAAAGTGCATTCTTCAGGTCAAACATGAGATATAACCAAAGCTTGCCTGAGAAAGTAGACCCCAGTGTTCTCCAGTAATGTACTGGAATGTACATGTTTGGACAGGCATTCTGCAAGCACATTAGCTTCTTTAAGTATAAACATATTTGGGTTTTTTGAAAGAAAGAGGAAATGGTACTGTGTTAGAGCAAAGGGTAACCACAGTTATCAAGAACACACGCACAGTGGTCACAGGATCATGCATAGAAAGAAAGTAAATTGTACAACTGAATGCATTCAACTGAAATGTGTCTTCGCATTTATTTTTGGATAGGAGTCAACGGAACATTAGTGATCTAGGCTAGCCTGTCAGTTGTTTCCTAGAGGGGAATAACACAGTTACTCACACCTCAAGCTGTTGGCATGCCACCAACCCCTACATTCAGCCTTTTCAGTTTTTCTGATGAACGTCACTGGGCTCAAAATGTTCAACTAACGCAATGATTATCCCATCAATGTCTCTGAAACAAAAAGATGTTTATAGATTCCACAGTGATTACTGTAGGCCAAATGGCCTGACTAGTCAGTAGATTGCACCAGCATAGCATAATGTTCTGATGATTGATTTACACATGTTATGGTCTGTAGTCTTTCAATAAACCAAAGTATAGTGTTCAGGTTGCCGTATTCATGGTTTTACACTACTGTGGTAAGAATGAAAAGGAAAACGTCTAGATCGTCACGTGGTTAATGCGCATTCTTATTGGGTGCTAAATTAACTACTGATCATTTTCGTCTCACCTCATAGACCATTGGTCTGGTTGGCTATTTTCTTTTGCATGTTATGTCCCAGTCATCCACATGGTGATAGCTTAGATTAATGACACATCTGTGGATCACCCATAGAATTACCTTTTAGATCAATATCATGAGCATTAAACAAGGGAATACGATTGAGTGCTTTATCAGTCTAGATAACATACTAATTATATACTGTAGAGTACATTTACATTTACATCACATGACAATTTATGCCAATTTATTATCATCCACTTATACCATTATGGGCCTTCTGTTTCCGCCTGACAACAACAAAGCCTGAATGGGAGGAATATGGAAACATCATCTTCTCAGCCACATAAAGATTAAATAGAAATAAATGATTTCCTGTCTTTCTCAAATTTGAGCTCGAACCAAACTACTCCTCAAAAAAATAAGACTTTCTATTACTCCACCAGAGAGCTGAAAAGGTAATTATGTGATTGTGCTACTAATAATCTAAAAACACATTTTGGTGTATGTGGTATTGAAAGGAACATAGATATCCATCACATTAAATGTTTCCCAGAATCTAATTGGGATTTAGATTTTAATTATGACGTTTGTTTCATGTGATAGTCAGACTTGCCTGTCTATTTCAGGAGCAAGCTAGAACAGAAACTTAGATTTGATTATCAGTATCTAGTATCAGTCCGAATGTCATCACCAATGATTGATCAAGTTACTGCCTCAGGACATTTCTTCCCATTATGATCATGACACCCCTATAAACTCTATATAACTATGGCCGTCCTTACATTTCAGTAAATTATTTAAATAAGCATTAAACCTACGAACTGTCCTGCTGTCAATGGATCTTATTGCCTCCAAATATCTAGTTAATCCAATCACATGGTCTGGCTCTGGCACATCGAACGTGACAATGAAGTGCAAATGCTCTCCCACGAATCACAACCTCTGTTGTGGCAGATTGTCAGCCAGTTTGAAATCATGCAGAGCAATAACCATGGAACATTTAGATGCAATTACTGGACAGCGGCATTAACATAAGGTAATATAAACCTGTTAGGAGGTGAGAGACAATATTTCCATGACACATTTTTGTCAAATCATAAGATCCTTAACCCAATGACAGTAACTGCTATCATACGCTGAGGGGGTCCGGAAAAATAGAAGGTCACAAAGCCTGAAATTGGTTAAACTTTTCACACAAAGGGGTTAAAAGCGGGGAGATAGTTTCACAGGCAATTTGGAGTTAGGCAGTTCCACTGCAATAAGGCTCAAATCGATATCTGTGAGACCGTGACTAAACCTCAGAGACCCACTCTTGAAGGGAAGACTCATATTTTCCATCCAGAGCCCATTATCAAGCTCAAATAGTATGTTACATTTTTGACTGTATCAGAGTGGATAGCCAAAGGGTTTTATCTTTTTGACAAATAAACGATTTTGTCAATGAAATGGGGTTGGAGCAAAGTGTGATGAGCTGGATACTGTGATAAAAAAAAAAAAAGATTGTAAGTAATGATTGTGAGTAAGAGGATGTCATCTTTTGAGGGATGAGTTCAACTGTGTTCAACTGATATGAGTTATACAGTATTGTTGGGTGTATTTATACAGTGCATTTGGAAGTATTCAGACCCCTTCACTTTTTCCACATTTTGTTACATTACAGCCTTATTCTAAAATTGATTAAATACATTTTTTCCTCATCCATCTACACACAATACCCCATAATGACAATGCGAAAACAGGTTTTTAGAAATGTTTTCAAATGTATTAAAACTGAAGCGTTACAGATTCCGCGATATAAATGTAAATGTAATTTCCGAATGAGCCGACATATGCAGCATTTACCGTGAATGCAGTCTCCGCTAAAGTGGGAACATTGCCTTTACATTTCAATCACATTGTAAAGCTGAACTTCCGCGATGTGGATTGAATAGTGCCCTATGTGAGTAACCTTCTGCTAAATTAGACTACAGGAAGTTCTATGAATAAGAGACTGTCTCGTTTATGACTCATGGCCTTGTAAAAGAGACTTTCCTGGTTAAATAAAGGTTAAAAAAATTGCGAAGAGCTTTTCTGATCAGGGTTCATACATCATGAGCGATTTAAACTGTTTTTTATTTTGCACTAATTACGTACAAAATATACTTGTTTGTCTTTTCAGGAACTACTACAGTTTGAACCTGAACAAAGATGGAGAAACAGATTAATAAAACAAACTTGAACTTGACTTGCGTGACAATCTCTAAGAGCCCTATCAGTGACTTCCTGATGGGCATCTACATCCTGGCCTTCATCCTGGGCTTGGCCTTTAACCTCTTGACCCTTGGCCCCATCGTCCAGCAGGTCCGCAGCCAGAACGTCCTGGGGGTATTCCTGCTCAACCTGTCCATGTCTGACCTGCTCTATATCCTCACCATGCCTCTCTGGATCAACTACTACCACCGGGACCACCACTGGAGCCTGGGCAGCCTCTCCTGCAGCGTGGCCGGCTTCTTTTACTACTCCAACATGTACCTTAGCATCTACCTGCTGTGCTGCATCTCTGTGGACCGCTGCCTGGCCGTCACCTACCCCCTGAGGACCAAGGCCTTCCGCAGCGCGCGCTACGCCTGGGTGCTGTGTCTGGCCGTGTGCGTGACTGTCATGTCCGGACACGGCCTGGTGTTGTTCAAGGACAACCTGCAGGACGCCCACGACGACACGCAGGACCGCTGCTACGAGACCTACCCCATGCCGCAGCCCGTGGCCCTGTTCAACCTGCTGCGGGTGGGCATCGGCTTCCTGCTGCCCCTTCTGGTGCTGGGGCTGTGTTACTGGAGGATCCTGGGCCAGGTGAAGCAGAGCGAGGGGCTGGGGGAGCAGGCTAAGAGGAAGGTACGGCTGCTGTCCATCGGGGTGATCGGGATATTCTCTGTGTGTTTCGCCCCCTACCACCTCCTCCTGCTGACCCGCTCCCTGGCCTACTACCACATGGACGAACATAGGTACTGTGAGTTTGAGCAGAACATGCACTTCCCCTTCTCGTGCACGCTGGCCCTGTCCAGCCTGAACAGTGTGGTGGACCCAGTGCTGTATGTGCTGGTCAGTAACGGGGTGAGGGAGGACATGAGACTGTGCTGCTGTGGGAACAGACAGGGTCAGAAGGAGAGAGACAGTCCCCTCACCACTGTAACATGGAAGACAGATAATACAAGCCTGATCTGATTACATACTGTGTGTGTTTGTATGCAGTGTTGGGTAGGTTACTTTCTAAATGTAATCCATTACAGTTACTAGTAACCTGTCCAAAATTGTAATCAGTAACGTAACTTTTGGATTACCCAAACTCACTTTCAGTTACTTTTGGATTACCTTCCCTTTAAGAGGCATTAGAAGAAGACAAAAAGGATCCATCAAATGCATTTGGTGTGTCATCATAGTGGTCCCTGACTCGCTCAGGTGGAACAAACTGATGCTTTTTCAATGCTGAATTGAATGTCATTGAGAAAACAGAAAGGTGTCATAATGTATTTGTTTTGCAAACATCCTTTCTGAATTTAAAAGTAATCTAAGAAGTAATCATGTTGTTTTTCAAGAGTATCTGTAATCTGATTACAATATCTTTGCTGGTAACGTAACTGATTAAAGTGACAGTTTTTTTTGGTAATCAGATTACATGTAACTTTGAGCGTGTGTGTTGAAAATATATGCCCTTCATCTATTGCAGTAAATCCATTCCGTGCACATTGTAAAAAGGACAGCATGTTTGTCTGTGTGACTTCAGTAACATGTTATTTCATATCAACCCACTTTCATGGACAATCAGTCAATCAGGTTGTTTTTATAATGTTCAAAGAAAAGCCTTTGTGTACTCCCGAGTGGCGCAGTGGTCTAAGGCACTGCATCGCAGTGCTAGCTGTGCCACTAGAGATCCTGGTTTGAATCCAGGCTCTGTCGTCGGAGCCGGCCGTGACCGGGAGACCCATGGGGCGGCGCACAATTGGCCCAGCCAGGGATGTTGGTAGAGCATGGCGTTTGCAACGGCAGGGTTGTGGGTTCGTTTCCCACGGGGGGGCAGTATGGATAAGAGCGTCTACCTAAATGTAAATGTGTAGTTTTTCTAAAATACTGCTTGATGATGAGGATGGGTATTCATTCATATGCATCATGTGCTTTAATTGGAGCTTTATATTAATGCCTGTCCTCATTGGTATCGAAAATCCTTTCAAAGGCCATCCGCTTGAAGGGCCCTTGTATCTCTTCAGGTCTGCCACTGGTTTTTATTAATATGTGCTTGGTTTACAAATGAACCTTTATGTTCTAATTTGCCTGTTTGTGGACCGACATAAATCAGAAGAACATTTGTCAATTTCATATTTATCCAAAACTAAATCTATGTAATAAACAGTGCTGGTGTTGAAATCATAGAAAATACAGTACTGGACATTGAAGCCATGTTGTACAATTGTCCATCCAAGAAACAAAAAAGGAACTACCCAAATGTGCATATTTCTTCATACGTGTACATGTACAATTCCATTATCGGACAAATCAGTTCCCCTCTCAGTCCCTCAAGGTGAAATATAAAAAGAGGATAACAAAAAATAATGAACTTCCTCATCAATTGAGACACTTAGTCAATACAGCTTTTTAACTCATGATCTGAACATGAGAGATGACTGTAGACCCTCGCTTTGATTAAGGTGTGTGTTGTGGCTGTGGGGATGGGACTTACTGTTGTTCCTCTGTCCCCGGGTGGGGGTTGGGGGTGGGGTGGGGTATTTGTGGATCTCATGGTTTCCATCGTAGTGGTGGTCCATATGGTCCTTACGGTCTGGATAAGAGCTCTCTGGTGCAGATGAGGAAAGCTGAACAGAAGACTCTGGAGACGCTGTGGCTCACGGAGAGCATGGCTCTAATCCGCCTCACAGCTAACATACAGCAAAATGGGCCGTAATTAAAACGGCCACACAGTCCATAATCTACAGACAGTAGCACAGACTGCCCCACACGCCATAATTAAAATGGCCAGCGATGTCATATCTCTGTTTCTGCAGTTACAGAGAGAGATGGACATTTTCTTTGGAGCTTGTGTTGCGTGTCACATACATGGCTGTCTCTCTCTGATAATCCTTCTGTGTGTGAAGGGACGACATGAGTGGTGTTTGAATGTGAGGGACAAAGAGAAATAGGTGGAAGGGAGAGATACTGAAAACTGGAAAAGGGAGAAAGAAAATAGAGGGGGGGACAGTGGCGGCTCCTGAAAAAATTCTCAGGGGGGGCAATTTTTCTGATGATTTAGGTGACCTACACACATTTTAAAAAAGATATGTCCAGCAACAACATGAAGACAGGGGCAGCATATAAGTCAATACCAGAAGCATTTATTGACTGATCTCAAAAGTGTTGGCTTACCAGGGTTGGTGGAGCCCACAGTTTCATCTTTGCATCGCAAAGCTAACTCAAACACTGGATTAGCCGGCTGAGGATGTGGCGGTTCTTGCTAATGTCGTAGTAAATATATTTGTTATAGTGAATATGGAATATGATATGTTGAGTAAAATGTTGTGCTAAGATCTATTTAGGTCAGGAGCTGGTTATAAGTTCTGTTCCTATCCAATAACAATGGACAAAAGGGTCCCATCTTGTCAGCCTTGTCAGCAGGTGGCCAAGGACAACACCCACGCCATAGGCCTCTCAGTTCTTCCAACTCACGAGTTCTTGCTCTGAGGACACACACACACACACACACAAACACACACACACACACATCATCACTGTTAAACACACACACACACACACACACACACACACACACATCATCACTGTTAAACACACACACACACACACACACACACACAAAAATCCCCTCTCTTAGGCTGAACATTTGAAGACAGAGAACCCGACTCAGAGCCAATGCAACAGTGACAGTAGCCTGGAGGGGACCTCGCCCAACTCATCAGGACCAATCAGAAGATCAGAACTACTAGATTCAACCTACTTCATTTATTGCATAAAATGTCTGCACACAATGTTTCGGGTGTCATAATGTGAGGTGTAGGTGGGGTTGAAGTCAGGCGCAGGACACCGAGGATAGTCCAAAATGTTTACTAAAGTCCAAAATGAACAAAGTACAAACACTGTGCTCGGCCACAAAACAAACAAGGTGGCGACTAAGCGCAATTACGCACAGACACGCGTAATTACAAAAAATGCACAAAACACGACACGAAACACAAGACGACTGGCGAAAACAACACACAACTAATCCATACAAACACAGGGAACTTATAGGACATGTAATCAACGCAAACCAGACACAGGTGCAACGGACAGACAAAAGCAATCGCACATGAAACATCCAACGGTGGCAGCTAGTACTCCGGGGACGGCGAACGCCTTTGCCTGCCCGAACCAGGAGGAGGAGCAGTCTCGGCCGAAACCGTGACAGTACCCCCCCCTTGACGCGCGGCTCCAGCCGTGCGCCGACCCCGACCTCGGGGACGGCCAGGAGGACGCGGACCCGGGCGCGTGGGATGCCCATGGTGGAACTCTGTCAGGAGGGATGGATCGAGGATGTCCCTCCTGGGCACCCAGCACCGTTCCTCCGGACCGTACCCCTCCCACTCCACGAGATATTGGAGACCACTCCTCCGGCGCCTGGAGTCCAAGATGGTCCGGACCCTGTACGCCGGGGCCCCCTCGATGTCCAAAGGGGGCGGAGGGGTCTCTCCTATCTCCTCTTCTTGGAGTGGGCCAGCTACCACCGGCCTGAGAAGAGACACATGGAACGAGGGGTTAACATTTTTGTACTCAATAGGCAGTTGTAATCTGTAACACACCTCGTTCAATCTTCTCAGGACTTTGAAGGGCCCCACAAACCGCCGACCCAGCTTCCGGCAGGGCAGGCGGAGGGGCAGGTTTCGAGTCGAGAGCCAGACTCGATCTCCCGGTGCGTACACCGGCCCCTCACTGCGGTGGCGATCGGCGCTCGCCTTGTGTTGACGGATGGCACGCTGCAGATGGACATGGGCAGCGTCCCACGTCTCCTCCGAGCGCCGAATCCACTCGTCCACCGCAGGGGCCTCGGTCTGGCTCTCGTGCCACGGTGCCAGGACCGGCTGATACCCTAAAATACACTGGAAAGGTGTTAATCCGGTGGAGGAGTGGCGGAGAGAGTTCTGGGCCATCTCTGCCCAGGGGATATACCTCGACCACTCCTCCGGCCGGTCCCGGCAATAGGACCTCAAAAACCTACCCACATCCTGGTTAACACGTTCAACCTGCCCATTGCTCTCTGGGTGGTACCCCGAGGTAAGGCTAACCGAGACCCCCAGGCGTTCCATAAAAGCCCCCCAGACTCTGGAGGTGAACTGGGGACCTCGGTCGGACACAATATCCTCGGGGACCCCATAGTGCCGGAACACGTGGGTAAAGAGGGCCTCGGCGGTCTGTAGGGCAGTAGGGAGACCCGGCAGTGGGAGGAGACGACAGGCCTTAGAAAACCGATCCACAACGACCAAAATGGTGGTATTACCCTGGGAAGGGGGTAGATCGGTCACAAAATCTACCGATAGGTGGGACCATGGTCGTTGTGGAACGGGCAGAGGATGTAACTTACCCCTGGGCAAATGTCTAGGTGCCTTACACTGGGCACACACCGAGCAGGAGGAGACATAAACCCTCACATCCCTGGCTAACGTTGGCCACCAGTATTTCACGCTAAGGCAGTGCACCGTCCGACCAATACCAGGATGTCCAGAGGAGGGTGATGTATGAGCCCAAGAAATAAGCCGATCACGAACCTCGAGCGGAACGTACGTCCGCCCCACAGGACACTCGGGGGGAGTAGGGTCGGTACGCAGCGCCCGCTCGATTTCCGCATCGACCTCCCACACTACCGGAGCCACCACACTACCGGAGCCATCAATGGACCTCTCCTCCGTGTCATACTGCCGGGACAGTGCGTCTGCCTTACCGTTCTGGGACCCAGGGATGTATGTGATCTTAAAAACAAACCGGGTCAGGAACATGTTCCACCTAGCCTGACGAGGGTTCAATCTCCTAGCTGCCCGGATGTACTCCAGGTTACGGTGATCAGTCAGAATGAGAAAAGGGTGTTGAGCCCCCTCAAGCCAATGCCTCCACACCTTTAGGGCCTGGACTACAGCTAACAGCTCCCTGTCCCCAACGTCATAATTGCGCTCCGCCGAGCTGAGCTTCTTGGAGTAGAACGCACAGGGGCGGAGCTTAGGTGGCGTGCCGGACCGTTGTGACAGGACTGCCCCAATACCGGTCTCGGACGCGTCCACCTCTACTTGGAAAGGCAAAGAGGGATCCGGATGCGCCGGCACCGGGGCCGAGGCGAACAGGTTCTTCAGCTTGACAAATGCCCTGTCCGCCTCAGCTGTCCACTGCAAGCGCACCGGACCCCCCTTTAGCAGAGACGTAATGGGAGCTGCAACCTGTCCAAAGCCCCGGATAAACCTCCGATAGTAATTAGCAAAACCCAAGAACCGCTGCACCTCTTTTACGGTGGTTGGAGTTTGCCAATTACGCACAGCCGATACCCGATCTACCTCTATCTCCACGCCAGACGCGGACAACCGATAACCCAAAAAAGAGACGGACTCCTGGAAGAACAAGCATTTCTCTGCCTTGACATACAAGTCATGCTCCAACAGTCGTCTCAATACTCGGCGCACCTGGGCTACATGCTCGGCTCGTGTAGAAGAATACACTAGAATGTCGTCAATGTACACCACTACACCCTGCCCATGCATGTCCCGGAAAATCTCATCAACAAAGGATTGGAAGACTGAAGGAGCATTCATTAACCCGTACGGCATGACGAGATACTCGTAATGACCCGAGGTGGTGCTAAATGCTGTTTTCCATTCATCCCCCTCCCTAATGCGCACCAAATTGTACGCGCTCCTGAGATCCAACTTTGTGAAGAAACGCGCTCCGCGTAATGACTCCGTCATCGTCGCAATCAGAGGAAGTGGGTAACTGTATTTTACGGTGATCTGATTGAGACTACGGTAATCAATACACGGGCGCAATCCCCCGTCCTTTTTCTTCACAAAGAAGAAACTCGAGGAGACCGGAGAAGTAGAGGGCCGTATGTATCCCTGTGCCAAGGACTCGGCTATGTAAGTCTCCATAGCCGCAGTTTCCTCTTGAGACAAGGGATACACATGACTCCTGGGAAGAGCTGCTCCGGTCTGGAGATTTATCGCACAGTCCCCCTGTCTATGAGGAGGTAGCCGTGCTGCCCTCGCTTTGCTAAACGCTAGAGCTAAATCCTCATACTCGGGTGGAATGCGCAGTGCGGGCACTTGGTTCGGACTCTCTACCGAGGTCGCCCCTATGGAAACACTTAGACATCTCCCTACACACTGGTTAGACCACTCCATAAGAGCCCTCTGTTGCCACGCTATGGTAGGATCGTGGGTGCTTAACCAGGGAAGCCCCAACACCACTGGATACGCAGGAGAGTCAATCAGATAGAACTGAATGACTTCCTCATGACCCCCCTGCGTAGTCATCGTCAGTGGTGCTGTGACATCCCTGATCAGACCTGACCCCAACGGCCGGCTGTCCAAAGCATGGACAGGGAATGGAACTTCTACCGGCCAAAGGGGAATTCCTAACCTAGCACAAAATGCCCTATCAATAAAGTTCCCAGCTGCGCCTGAATCTACTAGCGCCTTATGCTGGGAATGAGGTGCCACCTGTGGGAAACGCACAGGGATGCTCATGTGACCAACAGAGAGCTCTGGGTAAGTGGGGCGCCTACTCACCTGAAATGACTCCCCAGTGCGTGACCTGTTGTCCCCTCTCTCAGAAAACCTTCCCCAGCACCTGGCCGCGGTGTGTCCTCCACGGCCACAGTTGGTGCAGGGGTTGGCTTTCCTCGGGTTCTCCCTCCTCCTCTCTCTAGCGCCAGCACCC